GTAGTGGAGAGTAGGAGGTTTAGAGGTGGAAAAAGTGGCACAAAGAGGAAGAATATGAGAGAAAGGGATAATAATGTTGTATTTGACCATATTTCTCTTCCTTCTCATATAAATCCGTGCATAGCACCAATCAAAATACTAGTTGATATGTAAGCTCAAGCCTACGAGTTATTATGTAACTCGGATTAATTGTCTTGACCTCGTAATTCGGCTTAAAAGTTACTTAGTATGCATCAACATCAGACTTCAATTTGGGGACGAGGGGCCTGGACGGTTGCCAGAGACAACCGTCCCAGACAGTTCACGGCCTGGATGAAATCTCAAAAATTTGTACGGCTCAAATCACGTCTTGTAACTCGATTTTCACGCCGTGTGGGACCCACAAAAATATTGTTCTAATATTACTCGCTGTTGTTCTATTGTTACACCTTGTATAGATGATGTTACACCATGTACACATGGTGTTACACCTTCCGGAGCGGTTGTTCTGACAACCGCTCCAGCCCCGCGTCCTCAATTTGGAGCCTCAACTCCAAAACAACCCTATCCTCGTCTGAAGAAAAGATTTGATTTTTTTGGAAGAGGGTTCTACGGCCGTTCCTGACAGTTCATGGTCAAGATTTGATCAAAAAAATTGTAAGGTCCAGATTTTATTTTATACCTCATTTTTTACAATATGTGTGGAATTCAAAAAATTTTATTTTTGAGTTACACGTTATTGAAAATAAATTATATCTGTGTGTAAATCGAGTTACGCGCGTGCAAAATACACGTAGCCTTCCTGCCCCGGATCCGATTTTTTTCACCCATCTAAACAGCTATAATCCCGCGGGGTCCCCGCCTCCTCCCTCCAAATAAACTGAAGGAAAAATTTCCCCACCAACTTCCAGGGTGGTCATGGGCTGCGTACCCTCCCCAGCCTTCATCGCCTCCTTATGAGATTTATTAGGAAGCCACTCTGCGCCACACGTAGTATTTGCCCACAGCCGCCCAATTCATCGTATAACTTGATGGCCATCCAAAACCTAACTTCCTCTTCATCGTCAAACTGCAACGTCGCCGTCAACCAAGACGGCGGCGACGACGACGACCGCCTGTGTTCCGAACCACAAGGAGAACCAGAAGGAGAGACAGCCCATTTGGACGGCCTCCCGGCCCCAAATCCAAACGGGTACCTGAGCAGAGAGTCGCGGATCGAGAGAGCCTGGGCACACTGGAAGAAGCTTGGGCAACCTAAGTTCATAGTGGCCCCCGTGGTCGACAACTCCGAGCTCCCCTTCCGCATGCTTTGCCGCAAGTACGGAGCTCAAGCTGCTTATACCCCTATGCTTCACTCTCGTATTTTTACCGAAACTGAAAAGTACCGCTCTCAAGAGTTTACCACCTGCAAGGTAATTTCGGGTCTTGTTTTTAGTTACTTGTCTTATGCTTCTTGTTACTTAGTCTGTGAAGTTGTATAGTTTTGAATTTCATTAAGGAGAAGTTTGCTGAGAAATGATGACAGGAGGACCGTCAGCTATTTGTGCAATTTTGTGCGAATGATCCAGATATATTGTTGGAGGCTGCGCGGAGAGTAGAACCCTACTGCGATTATGTAGACATCAATTTGGGGTAATGCCTTCTACCCATGTTTTTCCTTCCTTGTTTAGCTACTATTGCTAACTACTGTAGAAGGAGGAACTCCAGTAATGAATGACATAACGGGCATTTTCATTAAGCTGATATTGCACCTAGTGCTGCATATTTATCTCCATATTCGCTCGTACATGTATTCTAGAACAGTTTTTCCATATTGACTCTAACTATACTGATTGCTCACTTTTTGTCGTGGCTAATTCTTTCGAGTATAATTTCCTTGCAATTCCATGTAACTGGCATCTGGAAGTTGTCCTGCTGTCAGCTTGTATCATTACAATCACTTTTCGTTGAGTTTGGTTGAAAGTAGGCATAGTTAAGCGTTGTATATTTGCCATCCGTGCAGATGTCCGCAGCATATCGCTAGGCGAGGGAATTATGGAGCTTTCCTTATGGACAATCTTTGGTTAAATCTATGGTAGAAAAACTAGCAAACAACCTTAGTGTTCCAGTCTCCTGCAAAATACGACTTTTCACGAATTTTGAGGACACAATCAATTATGCCAAGATGTTGGAAGATGCTGGTTGTGCTCTTTTGGCAGTACATGGTCGAACTAGGGACGAAAAAGATGGGAAGAAATTTCGTGCCAATTGGAATGCCATCAAGGCTGTTAGAGATGTCATGAGAATCCCTGTTCTGGCTAATGGGAATATAAGATACATGGAAGATGTGCAGAGCTGTTTGGATGAGACTGGGGTTGAGGGGGTACTTTTAGCTGAGTCTCTGCTGGAAAACCCAGCCCTTTTTGCTGGATACCGTACTGTCGAATGGGTATCAGGAAGTGATGATATCTGTGTAGGTGGAAAGCTGGACCAGGCGGATTTACTAGTTGAATATTTAAAGTTTTGTGAGAGTTATCCAGTGCCATGGAGAATGATTCGTTCCCATGTGCATAAGATGCTAGGAGATTGGTTCAGCGTACATCCAAATGTAAGAGATCACCTTAATGCACAATCAAAACTCACATTTGAGTTGCTCTACGTCGTGGTTAATCGACTTAGGGATCTTGGTGTGAGGATACCACTCTATGTGAAGGATAGCAGAGTGGAGAGGGTATCTGCAAATGGATTTGCGACATGAGATTTATGGTCCTGGAAGAGATTTCATATTTGAGGCTTGCTGTTGTATAGAATTCTGCCAAAGTGGTGTCTGAGGAGGTTGAGTTACACTGTTATTCTTTCTACTGCTAGTCAATAGCTGTTAGCTTGCTACTAGTGAAAGTAATGCCCGAGTAGTTGAATGAGGAGGTTAACAGCATGAGAGTTGATTACAACACCTCAGTGTTCCTCTTGATTCTTCCTGTGACATGTGATGAGGTAAGAGAAGTTACTTTATCCTTCTTCTGCCATTATTTGGCTTTTGAGCTGGAAAATTTTGTTAATCATGGTCCTAAAGTATCATGAATGTACTTCACTCTGTTGTTTGGTTATCAGCATTTTAGCTTAAAATTGTTTACAATCTTTCACCTGAAGAGTTGCTTAGTAGGAAGAAATTTATTTGCTTGATCAGTGCTGTTGGTGAGGTAATAGTGCCTTCCAAGGGTAACTTGTACTGAGTTGATTGTATTAGCTTTTGCATTTCTTAGACATTTGCCAGTGTGAAACACTGTTTCACTATATGCTTCCTCAGTGTCATTCTGTTCTTGGCTTCATTGAATTTGGTTAAAGATTGCTTAGTTTTCTTACCATAGCGCTCTTTGTAATCATAATGAAGTTCCATCTTCCTTCCTTTTGCAGAGTAGTGGTTTTCGTCTATCCTATCAGTAGCATTTAGACATCTCTTTGTAGACAAAAGTGCAGTAAAATCTAGTGTGTTAGCAAAACTGTGCGCACCGGTGTCGGACAAGTTAGAAACCATACGAGTGCCACTGACAGTTGAAATTTCATGCAACACGTTTAGCTGCCTTGTTTTCTACTTTCCTCTTTTATCTTTTTGCTGCTTCACTATCTGACATAGGCTGCAGATTGGATGGTCATCATTGTTGAAGGCAAAGCTTTAGGAAATTTAAAGGAATACTTTGGTGGTGAAATTGTGCCAGAAAATTTAAAAACCTTAACTTGGTGGATTCATGAACCCTTTTTTTTGTGGCCCAAGTTTGCATTAAAATAGTAAAAGATGGAATGAAAATAGAACTCTTCCAGAGAAGACAGCAAAAAAGGGCAGTTATAGAACTCTGGGAAAGGCAGAGTGGAACCTATTGTTCCCTCTTGAAGATATTTAATTTTCATTGGCATCTGAGTAGCCTGTAAAGATATATTAGGGGAACAGTTTGTTAGTGCAGATACAAAATTGAGTGTAAAATGTTTATGCCGTTGAGAATAGACGATTGGGGATGCGCATGTCAACTGCGACACAGTAGGCCATCAAGGAGGAAGTGCACATGCACAAGATTGGAATGATGTATTGACGATTGGGATGGCTCCTCCGGAATTGCATTGGGATTTGGGAGGGCAATTGTCCTAGGAATATGTAAGAGGACAGATCCTCGTTGAAAGGTCAATCATGCGAAGTTTTGTCCTACTGGTTACTATCCCCTTCACTATCCCCTACTTGCTGCGCCGTTTGTGTAGGTATTGCCTTTTGTGAAAGGGGCAACTGACTTGCTGGGTTTGAAAGGGAACGGATTCACAGCCATTGCAGGTGCTAGCTAAGTGCGTCGTGTTATTGGACATCCATCATCGATGTATTATTCTTTCTTTTTTCTTTTTCTTTTTCTTTTTTTTTAAAGTGAAAGTGTTGTTCTTATTTATAGAGTAGATCGGAGTAAAGATAGCTGTAGCTAATGAGTTGTAGTTTTTATTTTTTTTCCGGTAAATCTTAAATATTTTCGGAACGGATGGGCAGGTTTACAATCAAAATCAAGCTTTTGAAAAAAAAAAAGACACTCTTCACCTTAAAGCAGAAAAGAAAATAGAAAGAATAAAAGACGGCCTACCTTTTAAATAAAGAAAAAGCGGAGAACTTAACATTTGAAACGTCTGATGTCACTTTGGTGGCCTACCTGAGACGATTACTATCTGAGAGTAGATCACAATTGCAGAAATGGCATTTTACGATTTTTTAACATATTTATTTATCTTTTCAATCTCTTTTTTAAAAAAAAAAAAAAATTATGTATGTGAAAGAATCTACATATTGCATGAGGAGGCTCCACTCATAGTGCCCAAAACAACAGAAAATGTTAACCGCGCCTAGTACAATTGAAGGACGTCATCCTCACGAACTCTCTCTTTATTGGCAGTATGGATCAAATCACTGAACCACCCGCATTAAACCTCACCGATCATTGGGTCCTCCATTCCCTCCCCATTAGCATATATACGTTGTGCCTTCTTCCGGGTTCAATCATCAGAAGTGTTGGAATATGGAGAGAGAGAGCACTTTCTCACTCACATTTCCTCTTCTTGTCTTCTTTGTCATCCTGCACTCTTGCTGGTTTTATCAAGTCGTTGGTAATGGTACTCCAGCAACTACCCCGATCAACAGGGAAACACTCGAAATCGTTATAGGGGTTGGCAGTCCTCCCTATTCCCCTGCCTACCGTCCTGACAATGGAGAATGCCAACATTGCCCACAGCCCCCTCCCCCTCCCCCTCCAAAGCCCGCATATCCTCCAATGCATCCCCCCAAGGCCAAGTGTCCTTCCCCGCCACCACCTCCGCCACCGCCCCCGCCTCCCTGTCCACCACCACCCCCTCCGCCTCCCTGTCCACCTCCGCCGCCACCCCCACCTCCACCACCTCCTCCCTGTCCACCACCACCCCCTCCGCCCTGTCCACCTCCGCCCCCACCCCCACCTCCACCCTGTCCACCCCCGCCGCCACCGCCCCCTCCTCCCTGTCCACCACCACCACCCCCACCTCCGTCACCACCACCCCCACCCCCACCCCCACCTCCACCACCGCCACCGCCACCTCCATTTACTCTTTCCAAGGAACTAAAAATGGCCATCCAAGTAATCCGAAGGTTCAAAAGGAGAATAAAGTACGACCCTTTTGGCGTCACCAAAACCTGGACGGGCAACCGCATCTGTTACGACAAATCCAAATACAAAGGCTTCGTATGCGACAGAAGCACCAAAGATAACAAGTTTAGAGTCGTTGGCGTCAATTTCAATGGCTTCAACTTTAACGGCGGACCTGGCTGTCCACTCGTTGCAACAGACTTCGTTGAAGATCTCAAGGACCTGGTAATCTTCCACGTCAACTCCAACAACTTCACAGGTGACATTCCCTTTGGAATATCCAAACTTCCAAACTTCTTCGAGTTCGACCTGAGCAACAACAAGCTCGTAGGAGCTTTCCCCGCAGCAGCCCTAGGGGCAACCAACTTGACATACCTGGACGTCAGGTTCAACCAGTTAACAGGGACAATCCCGCCTCAAGCCTTCACACTAGACCTGGACGTACTCTTCCTCAACAACAACGCATTCTCTGGAAACATCCCCGACAATCTTGGCCAAACCCCTGTACTCTATCTCACCTTTGCAAACAACGAATTAACCGGCCCAATCCCCAGGAGCATTGGCCAAACTTCCAGAAATCTCCTCGAGGTTCTTTTCTTAAACAACAGTCTCTCCGGTTGCCTACCGTATGAGATTGGGTTTCTGAATAAAACACATATTGTGGATGTCAGCATAAACCAATTGACAGGTCCCATTCCACAATCATTCGGATGCTTGAAAGATATTCAGCAGCTGAACTTGTCGTACAACCAATTCTACGGGGCGGTTCCAGAGAGCTTGTGCATCCTGGGCGACCTGGAGGTACTGGACCTCAAGTTCAATTACTTCACTCAAGTCGGACCAGAATGCAGGAAGTTAATCGAGAAGAAAGTCCTGAACGTAACCATGAATTGCATTCTAGACCTTCCTTGCCAAAGAAGCCCGGAGGAATGCGAGGCTTTCTTCTCAAGGCGCTGTACCTGCCCGGACCCGAAATGGCTCTACTACGTGCCTTGCGGCATTTATGTTTCTAAGGGCCCACCACAGACATCCGATCATGTGCCCAAGCGGCCAAGGCCTCCATCGCCGACATATGCTGCTTTAAAAGGGCCAGGCTCGTGAATTTCGGTGTCGGCAGCCAGCCGCCTAAGTGCCTACCTTATCATTACGCCGTAATATTAAGTGTATGTATGTATTTTGTTGTCAGAAGCTGGAGGATAAAATCTTCCTCCGTAAGCGAAATTTTTTATAAGTGTATACACTAAACCATCGCTGTCATTAATGCATGGTTAAAGCCTAAGCCTAAGCCAACCAGCTTATATTCATGTTACAAAGTTGAGGGTGCTTTATGAATACTACTGATACGCCAAAATAATTGCACAATTCAAGGCAAAATCAAATGAAAGAATCGGGGATCAACTAGGTACAGAGTTCAAAAAACTCCGAGAAATTGATGAGGCCATGTCATCCTAAATCAACCGACAACTTAATCCAATAAACACAAGATATTATTGTACATTCTTTCAAAGGCTAACAGATGAAATCCCCAAAATTCAGTCGAAACAGACATAATGGGGAGACTTATTCCTCAGTATATGAAATTTGTGAGGACTTTACTGACCAAGTGTTTACCGTAAACAGCACCTTCAAACCTCCTGGTTCCACCAGTTTGTTTTACGCATTCATCCAATGGCTCTATTACAGCATCATAATTTGGCTATTCATGCGAAAAAACCAAGGAGATTGATTAAGAAGCTGAATCAAAATAAAAAAGGAAAATTAAGAGAGAGGATTACCTCATAAAAGTAGGCCACGCAGACACGATAAATGGGAGAGTTGTTAGTCACCCGATGCAATGTTGATTCATAAAAGCCATTGGATAGAATCTGAAGATTCCCCAAATATTAAGAACAGTTATCGGATGACAGTATGAAAACCACTGGAGAATCAATTATTGAGATGTATACCTTGAGCATGTCACCGATATTGCAAACAAATGTCCCAGGAATGGGTGGTGCTGATATCCACTCTCCGGAAAGGTTTTTTACCTACAAAGGGACTAGTTTAATAGTGCAGAGTAGTGACAATGAAAAACCAGAGAAACATGTATATTTCAAGCAGAAACTAATGAAACAGACCTAAGTATAACACGAAGAACTTCAGGATACACACTAATGCTAAAAAATGAAGGCAAATAAAAAAGAAAGTAGACAGGAGGGCGATACCTGAAGAGCAGTAATACCATCATCTTGATTGACTAACGTCAGCAGACCTGGTATAGAACAAGAGATCATCTTCACGTACAAATAAGAACACCTCATGCTTACACCAAACCAGGATGGGGAATCTTACCATAGTCCGTATGAGCTCCACTGCGTTCATTTGGATAAAAGGCATAAACAAGCACAAAATCACATCAATCAAGTGCTAGAAGTGAAATAAAAGAAGATGAAATCCATCTTCAGCAATCTCACCATCCAATATCATTTTTTGGCATGTCTTGGCCATTTGCAGGGGAGACACCAGGATAGCCAATTATACGCAGCACCCAAAATGGATCACCGGCTCTTGTCCCTTCAAATTCAACTGGTGATCCACCCAATGCCAGAGCTATTCCCCGCATAATTTTTCTAGACAGCTCTGTCGACGTTTAGCATCCAAGTCAGATTCAGTGGACTGGAGTCAGAGATAAAGCAATAACCCAGCTAATGGTATATAATTTCACTCAAAATGCACCTGTGCAAAGGTTGACATACTCCTCCATCAATTTTTTGAAATTCGGCGGATGACTTGGCCTACAGAAGGTAACAATGTGTCATTTACACCAGGAAACATACTTGTTACCATGTGCAGGCAGTACTCATGCTTCCATAAAAATAACAAGCTTACCAAGCAGGTAAATACTAGAATGTTGTGCCTGTGTTTTTGGATGAGAGAGAGAGAGAGAATAAATTGTGATAGGTTGTCGAGTTCCTTTTTTATTTTTTTTTCTTTTTCCCTTTCTTTCTTGTTTGGATAAGCACTTGTAACCTTCAATGGTGTTCAACTTCATGCCATATCCATAAAAGACAACAGTTTGGCTTCTCACATACCAAACATTAGAACCTTGCATAGTTTCACCAAGAGCTCCATACATTCCTTTTGTGACTTCTTTATAGCACTGTTATCCAAAAGCAAAAGACTGAAAATGATCTGAAGGATTAAATTGATGAGGAAAACTGCAAGAGCTACAAGAGCATAATGATAGCATCAAAGCTAACATGAACCCCATCCAGATTCTTTGCTTGCAAAATATAAAGCTCCAAAATATGGTCCACTATATCATTGTGATCACCATAGATATTCTCCAAAACAAAAAAAAAAAAAGGAAAATGAGAAAAATAGAGGTTGAACATAAACAGAAAAAGATACAGTTTATATTATTCTAAAATTTTCCAGAACTAAGAAGCAGAAGAAAACATCTAGCTTCATTGCAGTTTTAGTCTCATTTTTCATGTAATTGAGGAGCAAGTTTTATTTGAATCATGAATACAGAAAACATAATTTTCTGCATAAAAATGTTAAAAAGGAAAGATAATGCATATTATGAGATGTTGAATTCATGAAGACACTATGTACAACAGATGCAGCATATGTACAACGCCTAATGGCTTCAGCATGTCCCTCTCCTTCACTAATCTCAAAAAATGACCCTGGAATTATCATATAAACTTAGTAAGACGCATTAAGTCGGTAACAGCTTGTTGTCAAGGAATATTCAAACCCAAGCATCCCCAGTTCTTTCCCATGGCAGCGTCTATTTGGTTTTTCACTATGATAAAAACATGTCCAAATAACATCTAGAACAGCAGGTGTAAGATAAAGTCCCCAACACAGAAAGCCTTAATAAGGTAGGCAGGCAAATTCAACTCAGCATCAACTTGCACACCCATTGGCAGGACCGATTGAGCGTTCACAAGGCCATTCATTCTACAGATAGATTACCAGATTTATAGCCAGCAGAGGTTTGTAAATATATGTTTTACCAGGTTAATGAGTGATTAAAATTTGTAATTACCAAAAATTCAAACTCAGCAAGGCAAAGTACATATATAGAATAATCTCCATGATAGTACGACCTAGAGCAAAGTAAAACCTACATCAATAGCTTCATGCATATCAGGTACCCCTTTGGTTATATTTTCTCCAACATGCTGATATCCTCTGCAATCAAAATGTTAAGTTATCCTAGTAAGAAATAAAAGGATGAAGCCTGAATCGGAACTAAAATATTGACCCTACATATAGCCTACTAGATATCAAATTTTTCCACAAGAAGCAAACCTGTATCCAGTTGTTGCAGAGAGTTTGATCTTGATTTTCTCCTCATAAGGTAAATCAAAGTATCTATGTGCTATGTTTCTGACCTCTTTGACAAGGGAATCAGGGATGCCGTGGCCCTTCTGTGCAATCCAAAGTCAACTTTAGGCATATATATAATAGCAGAATGAGAAGCAGAGAGGTTGAAAAGAAGAGGCTGTAGGTATTCCAAGTACCTTGTGAGTGACTCAAAACTAAAGTAACGCAAAGAAATCAAATTATACTTGTGAAGCAGTTCAAACAGGTGGAGATGAACGAACTCTAACAGGACCATCTTCTACCTACATGCCTAGGTAAAAGACAGAGATGAAAATATTCAACTAGTAATGCAGCCTCCTAAATTCATGAACCCTAGCAGTTCTGGTTTTGCATTCATATGCCAGTAAACTAAAATTGGTTGCCATCTAAGCCACTAAAATAAACCAGCGTAGAACAATCTAAATGTCTCGATACTTTAATCAAGAAATGCTACATGCTTTCTCGTTATAAGTATGCATAGTCAAAGACCACGAAAAAGTCATTTAAGCATAATAAATTACCACGTAAAAAAATCCTGCTTCTTTACATGCCTGACCCAACTGTCGCACAACATCGGCCACGCCTTTGTCTTGAGCCATGATTGGATCATCCCATTTCTCCAAAAGAGGACTAACATCTAGGCAAGATTCAAACAAAGAAGCAGAAGAAGCAAACAACTGAGACGAGCAAATGTCAGTTCTCATATACTAGTAGTAGCACTCAACCAAGTAGCGTAACCTTTATGACCAACATCCAAGAGTTTTTTTTTTTTTCAGAGAAAGAAATTGAAACTTTAGGACCTTAACTGGTGATAATACAATTTTCTTTTGAGTGAAATCGTAAAATATTCAGCAGGGATATGTTCAACAATGGCAGCAAAAAGAGACCAAAATACCGATTTGGATATTCAAAACCTTGCGCTGACAATTACAGATAAATACAACAGTAGAGATCCCTTTTCCTCCCGGGGTGACGAAGCCGGAAAACGACTGAGTATTCCCATTCCCTGTATCCAATCAATGTAACTAAACTACTATAACATAACTAGCCTTTTCCCTGCTACTTTTGTTCTGTGTTCCTCAACTTAGGAAAGAAACTGCATAAAATAAAACTATTAGGAAAGAAACCATGGTCATGTTTTTCCTTTAATCTCCTTATCTTTGCAGGGTGGCTAACTATAGTGGATAAATTATGCAACAAATGGCAAAAAGAAAATGACGGGAAAAGAATTCTTGGGTTTTGTGAAAGAAATTTGTTACCTATAAGGGGGAGGGTTTTAAAGTCGGTGGTCATTGCGATGGTGTTGTTGGAGCTCTCTGGTTCTGTGATCTATTCCCCGACTTCAACTTAACTACTCGAGGAGAAAGATGCCAAATGAATAAACACCGTCACTTGATCATTGGCAACACTTGCCAATATAATAACGTTGCGGCCTGCAGCTTCCCACTTGCCACTATAATAACTATGTGTAATTTCACTTTAACCCCCGACCTTTCCCCCCTCCCCCCAAAAACCACCCAAAACCAAGGCCCCAAACTTTTAATTAACTCTTTCAATTTTTTTTTTTTTTGAAAAACAACTCTTTAAGTCCTCTCTCTCTCTCTCTCACTCATACATTTGGTAGAAGGTAAGAATTGAAGAGATTTACTCATTTCTCGTGAGCTTAAACGGCATTTCTAAATTGGGCCTAGTTAAAAATAAAATTTGTTATATCACCCAATATTAGCGTAGTTACAAAAAAGGATCAATATTTATGATTCTTTGCTAATCTAGTGCCCATTGGTATTAGAAAATCAGTTCCCCATTTTTATTCACGAGGGATAAATCCACTGGAGTAACCATACCATTATATTGGATTGAGATTCAAGAGCATTCTGGGCGTCATTGTCAGACTGTAAAAGAATTGAAGCGAATCCAAAATTCGAGGTATTAAACTCGATTGGAATTTTTTGTTTTGAAATTGAAATCAAGTTCGAATTCTACACGAGC